TGGTTTGCCTGATAAGGCTGATATCGATCTTCCAGGTTTGAAAGTAAAATTTTCCCAGAGTCACCTGTACAGTCCAAGAACTGCTGGGTATCTCATTCTACCTACTATATAACTGAGGTCTATGCAGTCTCTTATCTAGCTGTTCCCAAGGCAGCATCCCTTTGCCCCGTTTCCCAAGGTATTTTCCACGTACTTTTACAACAATTAAGGCCTTGTTAAATACATACGTATATCACTTGTATTAATTAGATTTTCAACAGAATTTAAAAAGTACCAATTTTAAGTTGAAAATAAGAATAAAGAAAAACAAATAAGTAAAGAAGGAAATTATGATGCAACCTTAGAGAAAGCAGGTAAAATCTCAGTGCATTTATAGCCAGTATTAAGATTGGAAGCCACTTCTTTAAAACATTTTCTTTTTTCATTTCTCTCTTTTTATTTCTTCTTTACTTATTTGTTTTTCTTTATTCTTATTTTCAACTTAAAATTGGTACTTTTAAAATTCTGTTGAAAATCTAATTAATACAAGTTATATACATATGTATTTAACAAGGCCTTAATTGTTGTAAGAGTATGTGGGAAATACCTTGGGAGACGGGGCAAAGGGATGCTGCCTTGGGAACAGCCAGATAAGAGACTGCATAGACCTCAGTTATATAGTAGGTAGAATGAGATACCCAGCAGTTCTCGGACTGTACAGGTGACTCTGGGAAAATTTTACTTTCAAACCTGGAAGATCGATATCAGCCTTATCAGGCAAACCAGAGAGGAAATATGATCAGATAATTTAATTCTGTTTCAGTGTAAAGCTACATTAACAATATCTTCAGAACGGAATATGTTAACAGAATTCAGAAGAATTTGTGAACAAGAAAGTTGGCCTAGCTGTGCAGATTGTTTCCTTACTTTTAACAAGCATCCAGTTTTGTTTTGTGAGACTGTTAACCTTTTAACTGTTAATAGTAATTCAGTAATGGATTTGTGTTTTTTCTCTCCCAATCTCATTTTTTTTAGGTTTGTATTTGGCTTCCTATGAAAGTGAAAGTCCAGAAAACCAAACAGAAAAAGAGAGATGGAAAAACCTAAGGTACTTACACTTTTAATCCAAGTTGAAATTTCGTATTGGTGTAGAAAAGATGGATAGCCTGCTGAAAAGGTTATCTTCTCTCTCACCCATAAATAATGACAAACCTGGCTAGAAATAAAAGGCTACCATAGGAATTAAAATACCTTTGGGCACATGCAAATGTAATGATTGCATGATTTATTACAATATTTGTTCATTGCTATTTTTATTGTCATCTTTGTTCATAACACATACCTAAACATATCTACACAGTATGTTAAGAGTCTCTTTGGACATATAAATGAAAGCCCGTAGATGACTCTGGATGGAAATCTTCATTTTTCTGAGAGAAGGCTTTTTCTGAGGTTTTCTTCGTATTTTTCTTTGTTTATCCTTTTTATAGCGTAGAATTTTCATGTTTTTTCACTTCAATATGTTAGGTGTCTAAGCCACTGGTTTTCATTGATCACAAGAACAATAATCAGCAGTCCAATTAGAGAGATTTCCTACAACACAAAAAAAAAGTTTAAAGCTTTTGTAGCTGGAGCCACAAATGGACTACCTTATCCTGGAGAATGCTATTTTCTCACTGAACCTTCTATAAGAGACATTTCCAATAACAAGCCAGAAGATTTTTTTTTAAAAAACCTATTATAGTTGGTCCCTGAAATTCATGATGGAAAGTTGAAATCCAGAGTGTTGTATTAATTAAGGTGTTTAAATAAGAGGTACTTGGTACTCCATGAGCTTGGTTGTTTTCTTGCAGACATTTCATTATCCAACTAGGTGGCATCCTTAGTAAGAAGTGGGGTTTGCTCTCAGTTTATATTCTAGTGGCTAGACAAAACCCCACTCCTTATTAGCACTGATGATGTTACATAGTTTGGTGTTCTGACCCCCAACCCTCCGTATGCAGAGGCACTCCAAGACAAGATTACTGCTAGACAATTTATTCACAGTAAATTAACACACTG